GCATTGTGTGCCGGGTGGCGGCCAGGAGCGGAGGCCCTGGCGGACTGACCCCCGGCTGCCAAGACTGGCAATAGGGACATAAAAATACCATCGTGAGTTAATCAGTTATAAAAAGACTTTAGCTTCAATCACGAGGAAGTGCATGGAATAAAGAAGGTACATACAGCATCAACTCAAATGTTTTATCATCTCAAAACAAAACATGTCAACACCAATAACAGCCGACAACTTTGAAACTGGTTTTCAATTCACACCCCTAATAAGGGCATAGGGGGGCCATTCACTATAATATAAATGGTTAAAGATTAGAAGAAATAATGGGTTAGAGAATAAATCACATGCTGAATCCAAATCATGCCGTTAGATACAAAACAAATGATGGATTAATCTATTTGTCGATAGACAGAATTTTCTGAATTATTATGAATTAATCATTCGAGGATTAAAAGTAAAGCCTAATCGATATAAGAGTGATACTAGTGGTCATTTAAAAATCTAATATTCTATTATATCAGCTGATGTTTTTTTCTTTCAGACACAAAAAATACCAGTAGTGCCAGCAGTTCCCCTCAGCCTCCCAGTAGAGACACCTGTCAATAAATACATTTTAAAGTCCGACATACGACCTTAACCTTGAGGTCGACGTCACCGATATTCAAACTCGTCCAAGTTTTTTAGTAGGTACACATGGTATCAATTTAAATCCTACGTTGCTTGGTACTCAAGTTCACAAACTTGAGAACTTGGTGACAACGATACCACACATAAGCCGTGAAAGGCTGATGGACTAACATGTGCCCTCATATGACGGCAGGTGTTTTCTCTGTTTCCTGTCTATCACTGTAAGGTCTGTACAATATAAAGCGCCTTGATTCAACTCTTGTTATGATTTATCGGGTCCCAGTCAGCCCAAATAGTAAAGAGAAATGAAAAATGCATGCTATGAAAGAGTTTGGGTTAATAATGAATTTGAATTGAATCAAATTTAATTGAACTCTGGTGGTCAAACTGTGGAACGTCAAAACTCAAAGCTTGGTTAAAAAGTATTTCTCTGTGGAAGCTTCCTCCAAAAGTTTGAGTTAATAATAAAAAATGTGTTTCCTCTTTTCAGTGATGAAAAAAAGCCTCCAAATTTCTTCCATCTCTTCTTTACTCTTTTAATTTTCACCTATCGGTCATCATAAATACTGATACAGATATCAATAATAGCAGACGATAATTTCAATTCTATTGATCAGTTCAGGTTCATATATATATATATATATATATATAGTCGCAATTCACAACAGCAGTTTCGTCTAGATACTTTATTCTGTGTCTAGAGGCAGAACTGGAGAAAACCCCAACAATCAAGTGACTCCCTTTGAGCGAGGACTTAATGACAGTGAGAAGGAAAACCTCCCTTTAATTAGGAAGAAACCTCCAGCAGGTCCAGCCTCAGAGAGGGCAGCCATCTGCCACAAGCAATAGGGAGGGTGAGAGGAAAGAGAAGAGAACAGAAAAGGAGAGCACAGGGAGACCAGACAGAAACCAGACTGAGGGAGAGGAGATAAAAATATGGTGGTGTATAAACACAAAGAGATGAAGCACTCAGTGCATCACATGCAGTTCTGCAGCAATCTGACCTATAGCAGCATTACTAAAGGATGGTTTACTGTCCCCTGAGCCATCCCTAACTAAGTTGTATCAAAAAGGAAAGTGTTGAGCCTGACCTTAAAGGCCGAGAGAGTCTGTCTATGAATCCAAACTGGGAGCTGGAAGGAGATCTGCCTCCCATTCTACTTTCAGAAACTCCAGGAACTACAAGTAAGCCTGCAGTCCTGCGTCTTTAAAAGATGACGGGCCAGACTATTAAAAACTTTGCATGTGAGGAGAATGAGGCAACTTTTTAAAAGGATTGATATGATCAAGCATTTTATTCTTTAAAATGAGGAAAAACTGTAATAAAATACATAAATTATTAAAATTATCATATAGCAGAACTTTAATACACCACTTAATGGGCACTTTAATGAATACTTGATTCATTTTTTTTTCTTTTGTTTTTAATCAACCAATTTGATTGTCCAATCAGTGCTTATTTTCTGCAGGCAACACAATTAAAAAAGACTTTAAAAAAGAGCAGTAACTGGTAATTATAACCACGAACTGCAGAACTACAATAACCACCCTGCTTATTGTGTCCAGGTGATGCTGTACCAGCTCAGCAATCAAAATCCCTTCATTTTTGCAACTTACCTTTCCTCCTATCCGCACCTGGGCTTGAAGTTTTGCCAGTTTTTCCTGATTCATGTTCTCAACTATAGGAGGAAAAAAATAAAGACAAAATACATTTATTTTTTAAAACAACAGGAGTATTTGAATGCTGCTGCAAAATTAGCTGGAGCAACAATATGAGCAATATTACAAAAATACGGAAAAATATTATTATTACTATTATTATCATGATCATAAAAACAAGGCGAGAGAATAGAGATGTTAAAGAGACAGGAAAGCTAGATGTAGCAGATACAACTGTAACTGGAGCTGACACTAACTTGACAGCAGACGCGCGTGTGTGTGTGCGCGCGCGCGCGTCTCAGACAGCTGCTGAGATGAAAACACAACACTCGGCCCACAGTGAACACACACCTTATCGCTGCTCCGCTCGCGCCGGCAGTTGCGCTCCGTCCGCAAACCAACAACCGCACGGGCCGCAAAAACCGCACCCCTCTCACAAAAGCCAGCATCTACGGGAACGAGCCTGCTCCATTAAGCACAGAGGCATGCGGCACCGAAAGATGGAGGTGATGAGGAAGAGATGACGTCACACATCATATGGCTGATTCCCCTCCCCCCCCACCGCCCCACCCCTTCTTCGTCTCCGACCAGCGGGAGGGATTTGGTGTCGTGCTGCCACCTATGGGATGCTGTTTAAAACTACACTAATAACTGTAAAGCGACACTGTCACTCTGGTTATTACCCGTGTACATTTCCCCTTATAGTCAATATTACAGAACAAACAAAAATCGCATGACGAGTGTGGGAACAATGTGTGGCCGCTAGTATGTGTGTGGGACTTTTCCCTGATGCCTGATAAATCTAACTTTTAAAAACTCACTCAGTCACAAACTGCACAGTTGCAGGTTTGTCATTGCAAATGCAATTTTCCCAGTGAGCAGTGCTACGTTAAGCATGGATGGAAGCAAACGTCTGTTTTTATGGCCTTCTGCAGCAGGCTTATTTATTCATGTATCCCCTGTTTTCATCTGCTGTTCTCACTAACTGAGCTCGTCTTGAACCACAGGTTTAGTGAGAGACTTAAACATGTTGAGGTGGGTGCTGTTGTGGTTCCTGGTTTAAACCCCAATAGGGCCTTTCTGTCTGGAGTTTTCATGTTCTCACTCATGGGTTTCCTCCAAGTACCCGTCTTCCATCCACTGTCCTAAAACATGCAAACATGCATGTTAATGTCATTCAAACCCAAATGTAGAGAATAAGCGCTGTGTGAATGTGTGACTAAATGTCACTTATATGAAAGTACAGTACTATGTAATGTTAGTCCATTTCCAGCTCTGCTTTTCATCATCAACTTTATTTATAAAGCACTTTAAAACAACCACAGCTGACACAAAGTGCT